GGTCTAATAGGAAGAAGGAGGGGGAGGTTAGTGCTTCAGAACATCTGTTTGCGTGTCCTTCGGCGCTGCTGTCTCTCTCTCTCTCTGGGCCGGTTGTATCAGCTGTCTCGGAAGGTTGTGGATGGGGGGGGGGGGGGGGTTTGTTGAGTAAGGGTGGAGTTCGTCTCAACTGCTCTGTTAGATGGTTGGGTGGTTTGGGTGTACAGTTGTGGATACATGAAGTTGCGGTAGGGTGTTTATATGCATTTGTTTGACATCGGTAGGCTGTATGGGGTGGACCAGTTAAAGTCAATTAGTATGCTTTTTTGTGCCCTACTGAGGGTGATAAAACATATGGCATCATGGGTGATGCTGAAATTATTCCAACTTTTTTTTTTTTTTTTATACCAGATGTGTTTAAACTCATTTTTGGATTCTGATGAAGTTATGAGGCCTGAAAACTAGCAATTCATGGTTTTCAAGGATTATTCAATTATGGCACTTACGGGAAAGCTGACAAATCTATCATATTTTAGAAACTGTTCTCTGATTAATCTTGTACACTTAAGTCATTGATGAATAATTTAGAAAACTTGTGCACATTACCTGATTGGCAGTATTTTTATGCATTTCCTCACACAACCAATAATTGTACATAGTTTCCATCCCCATCAGAGTAGACTCTTGCAACTTCAGATGTCCATAACTGTACACAGAAAGACATATACCTGTCTTGTGAGTAAGAATTTCCGAAAAAAAAGGTACTTACAGGAACTGTCCTTTTTGTTTATTAGGACAACTCGACATTTTTTTTTTTTTTTTTTCCTTCCCTCACACAACCAATAACTGTACATAGTTTCCATCCCATCAGAGTAGACTCTTGCAACTTCAGATGTTCATAACTGTACACAGAAAGACATACTTGTCTTGTGAGTAAGAATTTCCGAAAAAGGTACTTACAGGAACTGTCCTTTTTGTTTATTAGGACAAATCGACATTTTTTTTTTTTGCATTTCGTTCCATAGAGGCACACTTTGGATATCATCCTAGCTGCTTTAAGATTAGGATTATTGTAATATGTATTTGCACTTGTCATAGTCTTTTTCTAAATATAAAGATAGGAGTGCAGTGAAATGAATATTCTGACACATCAATCCCGTCTCACTGGATCGTGAATTGGCCATCTCCCTTTCAATATGAGGACCAAAAGACATGATTTTAGTAAGTGTGACTAAATCTATCTTGTGTTTGACAAATTGATGCTATTAATTAGATAGTAGTCGTCTTTAAAGGTTTGTGATTCTTTTTAAAGAAGTAAACAGTATATTACTCCTTACGCATCAAAGAACTTGTTGGGTGTTCTGGCTGCTAAGAGCCTTGAGTCGGACTTGAGGTTGAGGCCGAAGTCATTGTCCTGGTTTGCGAATCTGTGGAGGAGGAGAGATGAGTGATTTGTAAATGGGAATGGTTTTACGTTTTATGAATGACTACATTTTGTGAATGGCTGAATGTAAAGTTTGTTTATGTCTGTACAAGTCATCATATCTGGTATTTTTCTTGAATATCTACTTGATCGTAAAGTTTTATCTTTTCTCTCTAACCACCCCCACCCTACCATGCCTCCCTTCAACTCTCCCCCTTTTGATCACCCACCCACTCATCCATCCACCCATACACGCACCCATCCACAAACCCACTGACCACCCACACATCCACTCACTCCCTCACCCACCTATTCATCCACAAACCCACTCACCACCCCCACACCCACCCACCCACAAACCCACTCACTCACCTTCAAACCCACTCACTACCCCCACACCCACACACCAACACACCCACACCCACCTACCAACAAACCCACTCACCACACCCTCCCACCAACACTCCCACTCACTCACCTACAAACCCACTCACAATATCAACACCCACCCACCCACTCACCCCACACCCCCACACCTACTCACCCACCTCTTCTTCCCGTCCTGCTGACTGCTGGGCTTCTGCAAGTTGCGTGCGTCGCGGCTGTTGTGCCTGGAGGAGGTGGGCAGAGACGACGCGGCTTCGTCAGCGGCTGCCAAGGTCCTCGCCCTCTGCACCTTCTTCTTCTCCGCGGCCTCCTGCTGTAGCCGCTCCATGTGCTTCAGTTGGGCTTCGCGACGGCGGGATTGCTGGGACGGGGGGAGGAGGAGGAGGAGGAGGTGAAACAGAGGCGGGGAAGAGGAGAGTAAGGAAGGGAGGGAGGAAAGGAAGGGGAGGAGGGAGGGAAAGGAAGGAAGAGGGGAGGGAGGGGCAAGAAAAGTGAAGGAGAGGGAAGGGGAAGGGGGGAGGGAGGGGAGAGAGAGAGAGGGAGGGGGAAGAAAAGGAAGGAGAGGGAAATGGAAGGGGGAGGAGGAAGGGGGAAGGAGAGGGAAAGGGGGAGAGAGGGAGAGGGGGAGAGAGAGAGAGAGAGAGAGAGAGAGAGAGAGAGAGAGAGAGAGAGAGAGAGAGAGAGAGAGAAAGACAAGACAGACAAAATCTACGGCCATGGATACCTATCATAACAAAAAATTGTGATGATGCTTAGCAATCACCATCATGCTAGGTTTTAACATTCCAGTAATATCAATCACGATATCTAAAGAACTCATCTCGTTTACCTCTTCCTCTTTTCTTCTCCTCTTATCCTGTTCCGCTTCATACTCCGCCTTCATCCTCTCCTGTTGCCTCTTCATATTTTCCTCCATCAGCCTGTCCTCCAATTCTTCCTTTTTCCTCTTTTCATCATCCAGCTGTTTCTTCATCTGCGCCTGCCAGCTGAGTTCTCCTTGAAGCTGCTCCGCGCGGCCTCTCAGCTGCGCGTCTCTCTCTTCCGAGGTCTTGGGTGAAAGGGGTCAAAGGTCAGCGCCGTTGCTATGGTAACCTGGGTTTTGTTTGGTCACGTGACTGAGAAATGTTTTCGTTTATGTTCATAAGCGGCATTTTCTTCTTCTTTTGTTTGTTTGTTTTTTAATCATGAAGTATGTACTTTATATTGATTGGAAAAATGTTTTTTTTTTAATTCTTTGTAATCAAGCTTTGAGTGACCTCACTTTCAGATCGTTTTCGGGTTTTAATGAATTGTAAAGTAGGTTGATTTTAAGAAGATATTAGTCTTCGAAAAGGAAGGAAATGTGCGAGTAACCACATACCATATTTGCATGCAGGCGAAATCCTCGTCCACCTCCTCCACCTCCTCCACCTCCTCCTCCTCCTCCAGCAAACGAGGGTTCATATCCACTGTAAGTAGAACTATGCATTATTTTTTGTCCAGAGTGATTTTTTACCTTTTTTACGAATTATGAAATGATGGATGTGGAAGGATTTTATGAATGTTTACGAGAGTGAGTTTATTGGTTTGTTTACAGCCGGAGGAAGACCTCACAAGGTATTACATATGTAAGATTCTCTTTAGAGTAAACTATATCTTGAGTGCGAAGTAAACTGTATTGAAACCTCCCTTTCAAAGAAACTCCATTTGGGCCTTTCCTTATGAACAAATAAATATTATATATCTAAGGCTTTCCTTCAAAGTAAACTATATCTAAGGCTTTCCTTCAAAGTAAACTATATCTAAGTAAACTATGTGTAAGCCTCCCCTTCACAATAAACTATACCAAAGGCTTCCCTTCATAGTAAACTGTATCAAAGTCCTCCCTATTTAACTTATATACATCCAGGGCTGTGTACACGAATGCCACATAACGAAGAAAAGCAAATACATCCAAACTAAGATGAATTTCTCAACTCTAACGTTAGATTCCACAACGTTTCGGATAAAAGAATATATACCTGTTCAGGTGGATAGGCCAACGTTTCCACTGGCGCTTTCAATTGTCAACATCTGCGCCACAGCTATCTTTGTTATCTAGTTCAGTTATTCACATCCAACTAATATTGTAGAGATAAAGCCGATGCTTTATTTATGAAAGTACAGTAATACACTAGCTGTAGCTATCCATGAATATATAAATATAAATATATGTGTGCGTGTGTATATGTGTGTTTGGATGCGTGCATGTGTGTGCGCTATATGCTGGCCCGCATTTCTTTTCGTATCTCCTAATACTTTTTAAAGTTATAGTTATAGGGCCACTGCCAAATACACGGAAATTAGTTTTTTTTCTACACCTATATACATTTACAAATACACTAATGCAAAAGCGTCTGAAATATTCCCCATTACTACAGTCTATACATTTTCTCTTGGGAAGACTATACACCTTCTATTATTTGGGTTCTTAGTAGTGTGGCATTATCATTACTTTCATTTCCAGGTATCAAAGGGAATAACGATTTCTTTCCGGAAATCAAGACGATTGCATGACCATAGGACTTTAGTTATGCAAAAGTTTTGTCTGATTTCTAAAGTTTGCTGTACAGCATATTCTTGTGTGTTTTAATGTATATTGTTATTTGTTTGTATTAGTGAATGTGCAGTGTGTGTGTGAGTGTGTTTGTTTGTTGTGTGTGTGTGTGTGTGTGTGTGTGTGTGTGTGTGTGTGTGTGTGTGTGTGTGTGTGTGTGTGTGTGTGTGTGTGTTTATTTGCATCTTGTGCGCATAACACCAATCACAACAAATCTAGTATCACCACCATACCCTGCACCACCATAACCACCATAGCCACCACCAGCACCAGCACCATAACCGCCGTTGTTGTAACCTCCTCCTCCTCCTCCGTAACCGCCGCCGTAACCGCCATAACCGCCGCCGTAACTGCCGTAACCGCCGTAACCCGCTCCGGCTTCTTTCACGGTCGTGGCGGTTTCGTTCATTGTTATCGGCTTGCGACTGGCGTAGTCTGCGCCGCCGTAGCTGTTACGCCGTTCTGTGGGGGGAGGGGGGAGGGGGTTAGGGAAATGAGGGGAGTGAGGGGGGGCAGGGGGGAGGGAAATGAGGGGGGGCAGGGGGGAGGGAAATAAGGGGAGGGGGGAGGGAAATGAGGGGAGCGATGGAGGGGGGAGAGGGGTGGAATGTGGAAACGGAATAGGGGGGGGTGATGGGATGGAGAGAGGGAAGGGAAATAAGGGAGAGTGAGTGTGTTTGGGGGATGAGAGGGGTGGGGAGAGGGAGAGGGAGATGGAATGGAGAGAGGGAGGGTGTTAGGGAGATGGAATGTGTTACGAAGAGGAATGAGGAAAGGGAGAGGTGGGGGACGAATGAGAGGAAAGAGGGAAGGAGTGGAGATAGGGAGAGGAGAGGAAAGGGATAATGGGAGGAAGAGGTAAAGGAAACGATAAAAGAGGAAAAGAAGAGGAAGAGATTAAAATAGGGATAAAGGGGATGGGGAAGAGGAGAAGAGTAGGAGGGGATAAAGTGTCAGAGGAGAAAGGAAAAGAAAAGAAAGAAAGGAGAGGGAGAGGAGAGAGACGGGAGAAAAAAGTATGTGAAGATAGGGCGAGAGAATGTGAACACGATGAAGTGTAAGAAAAGGAAAAGGGAGAAAGGTGGGGGGGAAAGACAACGGAGATGGGAGGGGGATGGAACAAGGGAAGAGAGAGAGGAAAAGAGAACAGGGTGGGAGTGGATAGCGAGATAGAAAAAATGGAGGGTGAGAGAGAGAGGAAGAAGGGAATTTAATTCAATTTTGGGCGAGAAAAGTGTTTTGTTTTATCACTTTAGTTTTCATATACTTGGTAGCTTAATTTTGTTATTTAATTCGACGTTTACGAGGAGAGAGGCAAAATAAGAGAAAATAAAAAAAAAAAACAATAGAAAAGAAAAGAAAAAACAGGAACAGAAAGTGTAAACGAAAACGCGAAAGAAATAGAAAATTTAGAGAAGGTAAAAAAAATAAAACAAAGATACTCCCCCCCTAAAAAGAGAAAGAGTGAAGGATAATATAAAGATAAAAAGAAGAAAAAAACGATGAAAAAAAAACACTGAAAGAAGGAAACCGGAAGACCACAGGACAAGACCTCCCGAAGCCCCCGAGATCCTCACCAACGCCTCTCGTAGGAACAGCTTCAGGATCTTGGAAGGATGGCTCGTAGGACGTCGGGATGCCCATAGCAGCGTAAATCCTCTCATCTTCTTCTCTCTCTCTTCTCTTCGCCGCTTCTCTCTCAGCTACTTGCCTCTTCAGGTCTTCCAGCGCCTGACGACTCCGCTCTTGTCGAAGGGAATCTCTCGTGCCTGATGCAGGAGACGAGGCCTTAGGCTGGGGTCGGAGGGATTCCCGGCAGGATTTTCCAAAAGCTAATTTTTGTGTTTTCGACTTTTTTCACCGAAGTTGTTTTCTTTGATTTTTTTTTTTTTTTTTTTTTTTTGCTATTGTTATTATTCTTGTATTGGTTTACGGTTTATGATAGTGGGGTAGATTTTTACTTTTATGTATTATATGCAAGTTATGATGCTATGCAAAATATAAGCTAAAGACAAGATCTATTTACCCAAAAGAAAAAGATAAAAAAAAGAAAAGAAAGAAAAAACTACAACTACTACCTTAAATATTAATGAAAAAAAAAATGAACACATGAATAAAAAAGCTTTTACTGACCTGAATTATCGAAAATAGAAGACGTGGTAGCTAAGTACTTATTCTGTGCCGCCCTGAACCTAGCGTTGTTTATCCACCCGTCGTCATACTGCAACAGGTAAACAACCGCATCTTATAGAACGCATTTGGTGTTATCTACTGTAACGCATGCACAGGAGAGAGGAAAGTCTCGGAATTTTGTATTTTGTACCAGCGCTGTGAGGAGATTCTAGTTTATATATATATATATATATATATATATATATATATATATATATATATATATATATATATATATATTAGTATATATATATATATATATATATATATATATATATATATATATATATATATATATATATATATATATATATATATATATATATATATATATATATATATATATATATATATATATATATATATATATATGTATATATATATATATGTATATATATATATATGTATATATATATATATATATATATATATATATATATATATATATATATATATATATACATATATATATATATATATATATATATATATATATATATATATATATATATATATATATAATGAGTATATATAAACCAATATATATACATATATATGTGTATATATTGTAGTGAAAACTTTCTACTGTGTCGAGTGGAAGAAAGAGTTACTATTACAGATACGCTGACGCAATTAAGAGTATCAATTGAAACGCATGCATAAAGGGAGGTTATTCGGTCCACCCAAGATATACAACTACCTACTGTGACAAATATGAAGACAGATAAACTGTATTACATAACAGCGAAGGGTACCTAACGTAACGTGCATAAGGAGGAAAATCGATCCTCAGAGAAGAGTAACGAGTTTGAGACTGTCTACTTCAACGCATGCAAAAGGGGAAACGTATCCTTCCTTGGTAGCTGGAAAGGGGAAACAGCACAGTAACGTAAATGGCTATGTCTGCTGCAGCACATGCAGAAAAAGGGGAAATATGAATCTTATAGATTAAAAGTATTGCAAG